ACACACACACACACACATATATATATATATAGTTTTGTTTCTTCGTAGCTACTGAACTTGTTGGTAACTAGATCTCAGGTGGCTGAGTGGGTGAGATCGCTGTATTTGCGTGCTGGCGAGAAGGTGCCTCGAATCCCGGATGGGACTCAACCCAGAAAAGTGCACGAATTGTACTTTACTACGAAAGTGTAATCCCAAACATAACATTTGTTAAATCTCTATTATGAATACTTTGCCCAAGTCGACAAGATTCCTTGTACCGTGGCTCTTGTGATTCGCCACAGATTATCAAGTCCATTATGTCTGAATGTCTCTGTGATACAATAACAGAATATAAAGTATAATATACCTAACACTCGAGGAGGCAGTGGGTGTGGTGACTGCACGTGCGACCTGACCCCCAAGCATCACCATGCAACACAGCAGGTTGTTAGCGGTTGTGTGCGAAGACAGTGAGGGAACATGGCCTGGGAAACCTTGTCCTTATTGCATCGTCATGATTGTCGTGCGTTTTCTCTGTGAAACGATTGATGTAAGTATTGGTGGGCCATGACATGGACAAGATGAACACATAGGTATGTAAGTATTTATCTAAATATAGAACTGATGAAGTTATGCAAGTGGTAGGGCAAAGGTCAGTGAGTAGCGCTGGAGTTTCCGAGACATGCACGAGGTGTTGTGTGTACTTCACGCCCTGCAGAACAATGCCTGACGTAGTTCCCTGGAGTTTAAATATACTAAACTCACCATGCCCCATGTCGATACGCATCAAAAGCCATCAGCTGATGACAGTGCAGGTACACAGTACAGGGTTGACACACCGATGTAAGTGTTACGCAAGTTACAGAATCTAGGGGCTGGTCGACACACCGATGTAAGTGTTACGCAAGTTACGGAGTCTAGGGGCTGGTCGACCCACCGATGTAAGTGTTACGCAGGTTACAGAATCTAGGCACTGGTCGACACACCGATGTAAGTGTTACGCAGGTTACAGAGTCTAGGGGCCGGTTGACTCACCGATGTAAGTGTTACGCAAGTTACGGAATCTAGGGGCTGGTTGACTCACCGATGTAAGTGTTACGCAGGTTACAGAATCTAGGGGCTGGTCGACACACCGATGTAAGTGTTACGCCGGTTACGGAATCTAGGGGCTGGTCGACACACCGATGTAAGTGTTACGCAAGTTACAGAATCTAGGGGCTGGTCGACACACCGATGTAAGTGTTACGCAGGTTACAGAGTCTAGGGGCTGGTCGACACACCGATGTAAGTGTTACGCAGGTTACAGAATCTAGGGGCTGGTCGACACACCGATGTAAGTGTTACGCAAGTTACAGAGTCTAGGGGCTGGTCGACACACCGATGTAAGTGTTACGCAGGTTACAGAATCTAGGGGCTGGTCGACACACCGATTAAGTGCTGCACATTCCGCGTGGACCAGGAACAAGGAGCTCACCGCCGTGCCTGGCCATGACTCACTCTCAGGTGAATGGGAATAGACAAAATACATTCATTAATTTTGTCACGGCGGGATCCGAAATTCCTTCTCACTTGAAACTAAGCCTGCTTGGTTTCGACCCAGCCCCGCAGCTTCAAAACGCTTTGTTGTTGAAAGATGAGCTCCGGGGTCGCGAAACTAACGGAAAATTTACACACATCCGAGTAGTCGGACAGACTTATGTCGCATGCGATATGTTTCGTTACGGTTTTGGCTGTCGTTTCGACCAGTAGTATATGTTATATAGACAGGGTAAGTGCTGTGTAGAAAGATTCGGTCAGATATAGAAGCATTGATGGGTGAAGGTGATCATGGCATGAACAGAGAACAGAGGCAAGATGCAAATTAACATGCATACGATTTACCGACCAGAATCTGCATTTAAGGGAAAACTATGTAAATTATGTAATACATCTAAAATATGAATTTCATCCTGGGGATGATATTCACCTCACGGTTGTGCCTGGGAGGTCATCATGATAAAGAACAATATTCCATTAACAGTTCATACACGTTAACAGCGTCTCGTCGCGTTTTGTGGCGTCACTTTTAGACTGTCTCACAGCGGGGAGATACAGAAGTCATCTGCGCATGGGTGTGGTCGTTTGGGGTAGGGGGTAGGGGGTAGGGGGTAGGGGTGGGCGGTATGAGTGGGTAGGGATAAGACGTATAGGAGGGGTTAGTATAGTCTAAAAGAGATTTGAGCGTTTGGCAAAATAAATGGTTGTGCCACGCGTACACTGAAATGATTTACATTTGCAAGTGAGTTTTGAAACCCCCCCAGGTATGTCCAGGTATTCCAATACTATTATCAATTTGTTTTAAAAACTTTACAATGAACGAAATGTTCGCGCCGTTAGAACTGGAAGTTTCAAACTGACGAATTTGCCTTCGACAATGACGCCGACTACGAATTCCAACACGTCCACGTTGACAATGGCAGCCGCGCAAGGTGCAGACAACAAAAAACCTCAGGTAACATGTCTACTGTAAGTTACACCGCCGGCTGAATTCTTGACAGATACCCTCATTTAAACTGAAGCACAACGCGGCAAATTACCAGGTTTACCCCGATAAAGTACCGGGTTAGAAGGGTCGGCGTTATCGGCCAGGTCCCTGTAATCCACTCTTATTAAAGATAATCATCACACAGCTTTGCCCGTCTCGTTTTCCTGTGTACACCCAGTTTGTTCGCGTTGGCATTCTTCGAGTAAACTAAACCCTCCAGTGTTTGAATCACTCAGCCAAAGAAATGAATAATTTTGTCAATTTCGGCGTTCTAATGGCGGAGTAGATGGCACCGTCTGTTAGTACTGTAACGGGATACCTTCTAATTTCACCCAATTTTCTCCTTCCGTATATCGCCTCGTATTGACACAGCAAACCCAGTCAAGTAGACGCGATAGCGTTATTCCTGCACGTGGAGATGTTTTGTTCTTAACTTTAGAGTACGTGAATGGATGAATACTGTTTAACACCACAGTCAGCCATATTCAAGCTGTTCAGCGTCGGCCTGTAAATAATCGAGCCTGGACCAGACGATCCATTGATTGACATCTTGAGCATTTATGTCTCAATTAGGATACGATGACATGCATCAACCAAGCCTGACCACCCGATCCCGTTAGTCGCTTCTCACGACAAGCATAGTCGCCTTTTGCAAGAATAGATTGTTGAAGACCTATTCTACCCCGGATCTTCACGGGTCCACTACAGAAGAAATCCAATTGACGTGGCTTCCTCAGACAGCCGCTGTATATGTGCATCAGTCAGTAAACAAAAGAAACTAATATTTATGTTTAATCACGTCATGCATTTGTTTACGTGAACAGCGACTGATAGTCTTAAAATCCTGGTTCACTAAATACGTAATGAAGTAGTATATTGATATAACAGTCCATTCATTGACCAGCACATCCCAACGCTGTTGTAATCACACCAGCTTGAAGTTTAGATGATTCATCAATGTAAATGTAGTGTATAAGAGAAATGTGTTCATCCAGACTAGCACCGACATGTGTCGTGTGAAGGTTGCCTTAAGCAGCAGAATGTTGAGCTCTTCGGGACATCCTTCTGTGCTAACCACATGCTTCGTAGAAACAGGTTGCAACACATGCGGGTAATAGTTCTGTATTTTACGTCCGCTTCCGTCACTTAGTGCTTCTCTCCTGAATCGGCGGCGTGTCATCACTACAATCAATCGTTAGCTGCTGTTGGTGGATGGGGTAGAATTTGTTACATCTTCATCAGTATATATTCAATGCTCTTGGTGATCTCTCACGATGTCTACGGTCATCGTCGTAGGAAGGAAGTAAGTCACACACGTGAACTGTTTGGTAGACATTACTTAGAAGTTGACGGATGACAAAGTAGACACAATTTATGGATAACAACTTCTTTAATGCTGTAAAGGCGACGTTTCGGTATAGAGCCTTATACCGTTGTCAAACAAGTCACGCACGTGTTTTGGGCGGCCACAGCCTCTCTCCACACCAGACAAGGCACTATGTGGTTATCCATGTGTTTCCACACAGGTCAAGATGAAATGGTTCGTATGATCATTAGGTTTTACGGTAAATCTAGGGTTGATGGTTTGATCATGTAAACTGCCAAAAGAAAAGAAAGTGTACACCCATGTTTGATGGTGACTAAACGCGAAACAAACAAGAAATGGTTATTCGATGGTGATGTGTTTGATACGGGTATCATAGATATGTTTTGGACCTAAGTTTTCAGTTTTAATAACGTTTGTATTCCTTGCATGGTCAAATCCAGGTTTCAAGTGTATAATTTCTTTGGTCGGCAGTTGGTTAGATTTGGGCTCCAAACTTGATGGTTTGTTTGTTTACTTTGACACGGGCTCGAGGCTTGATACTTCCTTGTCATGATAGTTTGCTAGTCACAAGAACCACTCTTCACTGTAAACTACAACAGGAAATATTCTTACTTTAATTTCCTCTGTAAAAGTTGGTTTCGAGAAAATAAAATATAATGTAACAAGCTTATTCTTGTGTTATTGAGCTTGACCAAAGATGGACTTAAGACTACCCCTGTTTATGTTCTAGTCTAAAGAAGAGCTTACATAATGCTTCGACGTCACACATATGCTTTTGTCTCGCATGTATGACATTGTACTGTATAGTTCTTCCGTCACCGAGATTTAAGTCCGGTTTAAGTCCGCGTTAATAACGAGAACAACTCACCGGACCTCCGAGATCCGAGTGACATGTGAAAAGTAAATCCGGATTTGGAAGCGTCAGTTATTAAATTGGTCACTTGTCACAAGATGTCAGTCCTGACTCCGCAGTGTCGGAAGTTCGAAAGAAACAGGTTTTACTTGATGATAAACGTTGATTAAACGTAATTCGGTACTGGTCTGGTTGGATTAGCCAGAGTCCGGTTTAGACAGATTCCGCTGTACCAAGTGTAAAGGATGAACTTGTTCTTGTGGTTCGGGGTTTCACCTTCCGCTGGTGGTCGGACACACAACTACACACAAGTATTTACAAAATGGACGGACTTTATTTCTTAGTATATACATGTATCACAGTGTCGCTTGATGCGGGGCTAATACGTACTGTTAATAAATAACAAAGAAAAGTAAACTGAAAAGAAACTATAATGCTACTGCATAAACAGATTGACGCAGGACGATTTCGACTTAAGACACATTTACATCTTTAGAAATACGCTGAAACCTCGTGAATCCGGACGGTGGTCCGGACTAGGGAGGTTTCCCAGTAGTGCCCCATTGAAAGCCCCGAGCCCTGTACACTACCCCTGGACTGCGTATACTGATGCGTCGGGGCATTCCGCTAGGGTGAGCGTGGTTGGTTCAGTCATTCCAACAGATTCGAACCCCGACCAGCGGATCCAGGCCTCTACCGTATACTAAGGCTATTTCTGAGTAACTCAAAGTTATCTTTATCAACCACATCAATCTATATTAATCTAAATACAGTGAAAACCGTTAATCCGAATAACCTGATCAACGTGAAATCGTCCGAATATACAAATGTCCGAATTAACGAGTCATAGGTTATAGGTTATGAACTTTTCAATGCCGGACTTACGGGGTTACAAAGGTACAAACATGGCATAATTCTTCAATGAATTTCAAAAATATAACAAAACTGATAAAGTTGCGTATATGTGATGTAGCTACCCACAGTTGTAGTTCACATCGAAGTTAAAGAAGAATCATAGAAGACCTGATTGGAAAGTTATAAGAGTTCATGTCTGTCATCCCTGCGTCTATAACGTTTTGATTGAAAGTCAGTTTATACATGTAACATTAACACACAACGCCAAGTGAACAGTGTGCACGCTTCAACGGGCTAAAACCTGGACCATTGGATAGTGCCGCCATCTGACTGGACCCAGCTATATGTAGTCACGAGACATCACGTGTCACGTGTTGATTTGGGGTGTCAGATGTATTTTCAAACAATTTGCACGGTTGTCGAAATAGTGATGAAAAATTAAATTACAAATAATTTTTTTAATAATACGGTTAGCTGGATTAATAAAAAATTAACAAAATCTTCAGCGTTAAGGCGGTGTTATGGATTTCAAATTCTTTATTCAATGAGACGTTTCAGGACAGATGCCAGTCCTTGAGCAGCATCTGTACCGAAACACTCTTCAGTGATACGGCAACATCTAAAATGCCACCAAGATATAGCTACAGTTTTGTCTTTCAATCTGTTTCTTTGAACGGCCGTTGAAGGCGATTGTAAACAAACGTGTTCTACTTGTGTGGAGTAGGGATGATCTTTAAGATGAAGTTAGGGCAAGCCCAGAAATAGGTCTGAATCAATCCACTTCGTCACTTCGAACCCTTCAAACATTCCCATCATGTCTTGTTACTGAAATTATTATTCGGTGCTAAAGTAAAATAGGACTGAAGTAAAGCTTTTGGTTTCCCAGGGACCGATAAATTATTAATCATAATATGAAACTGATTCAAGGCATGGAGAGAACCTCGTTAAAGTCGCTTGCCCATCAAACAGAAAGTAGCTGTATCCTCACACGCCAGCAAGGTCCACGTTTCCCCTTCACATATACTACCCAACGGTTGATAGGGATGCTTCCGTTATTCAATGATATACAAAACTGAATACAGTAAAATACGTTTATAACCAACACGCTTGTAACGAACTGACGGATATTACGAACTTACTTTTTGGTTACCGCCATTTGCTGTATAGATGTTGTATGTATGCTTATACCGAATTACGGTTATAACGAACTAAAATTAGTGGTCCATTTGTGTTCGTTATAACCGTAGTTTACTGTATATATAAACATGTGTAACTATAATGTGTAATCTGTCTCCCTGTCAATAGTTGATTAGTATACACAGTTGAAGTACATATTTGTTGTTCTGCCAAAGGGCCTTACGATAGTCGTGGCGCTGAGAACGTTTTGTGGGACGTTCTTAGCGGCACGACTATCGTAAGTCTATGTACTGCTAAGGTTCCTTAGTGAAACGATTATATATATAACATCTTGGGATCCGACGATGTCCTTAGACTACACTAGCATACCACCAACAGACAGTCTTCAGGTACACTTCATCTGTACAGCGTTATCGCCAGGGAACACCTGTACCGGATTGCCTGGTCGATGATTGTAGCGATTTGTTAAAGGGGACTCATTCCAAGTGTAGGTGCAGATATCGTGCACACAATGGTGCCGTGAAACACTGGCGTGGGGTACTGAGACCGGTGATTAACTTCTACATATTCATTACAAAATTTGAGCAGACAAAGACAAGATTTTTAGATTTGCCACAGCTACCAAATGTCCAGACCTTAGTCACCCCCGACAACTCCTGATGCCGATAGACTGGAGGACGATGATGTTGCACTGCCAGCACGTGCAGCATCTCAGACTCATAAACAGGTAAGGGAGGCAATCAGACGTCATGGGTGCATATCCTTTCTACTGTAGTCGTCTCCACGCGCCAGGGGTGTCACGTTACCAAGGCTATGGACAGGCCCTCGGGTCGATGGTGAAAACTGTTGTCATTTCGTAAGCGAGTGAATTGTGAGTTTGTCTAAGGCTCTGGTACATTCCTGTGAAGAAAAGATGAGGATTGAGATAATTTAAGAGTAATGGTTTAATTTACAAAATCCACCATAGCACCTTGACCGGTGCAGATGAGTTATCTTTCCCTATCCACTAGGTGGCACGGATGTCTCAGTCGTCTTAGATGCCGCAATTCATTGTGCAGAGTTGCGGCCCTTAGTCGTGCCAGAATCCTATGATCGTGGAATCGAACTCCGCCTCCACCCTAATTATATTTCCCGCTTCGTCAGCACCACTGTGTTCATGGGTTTAACTAAATGCTAACCGTCTGAAGCCTGCATCACTTCAGGCTTTCCTCCGAAATATCGGGTTTGTCAAGCCGACACGCAACACAAATACACCGTTATGGATAACAACTTCTGATTTACTGTTTCGATGTAGATTTTTACACCATTACCAAGCTGCAGTGACAACAACCAAGACTAGGGATGAGAGGTACATGTATATATGTACGACATTCCGTGATAAGCAGCAGGTTAACATTGACAACAACAGGTAATAGATAACAAGCAGCATACAGATAAACGGATGAAGCCAGATGTACAGTAAGAATAACAAAGAGCACACAGGTGATGAAGCACACGGGTGATCAAGCCAGGTGTACAGTAAGGATAACAAGTAGCATACAGATAAATGGTTGAAGCCAGATGTACAGTAAGGATAAGGATTAAAAGGGTTCAACGGTTGTGACAAGCTGATTCGATCCTAATTAAATCGAAACGTCGCTATATGCAATAAACCAGAAGTTGTTGTCCATAAATGTGTACATTTTCTGACTTACTTACCAACTTCTAGAATGTCAATCACACAGTGAGCTGACACGCGATATAACTGGATAATTATTCCAAGCGGCGTTAATCCCAACTCACTCACTCACTCACTCTCTTCTTCCTTTGTGCAGGGAATCCAGGGTTGGTAGTTAAACCACTGGCTAGGTGAATCGTTGGACATAATGGCTACAGACTATTGATACTACATAGATTGGTGACGACCGTGTCGGCATTGACCAGTGGTCATCATATCACTGACGAGTATTCCCATCCCGGCATTGTGCAAATTGTTTGAGACACCGAGCAGGTATATCCGAAGCGCCGTAAAAGGGCCTTGTCATGGACAGTAGTTGATTTCGTCAACAATGACCTGTGCTTGAGTTGTGAATGAGTTAGGGACAGCTCCACTTTGAGTGAGTATGTTTTTACGCCACTTTTAGCAATATTCCAGCAAGATCATGGCGGGGTACACCAGAAATGGGCTTCACACATTGTACTTATGTTGGAAATAGAACCCGTGTTTTCGGCGTGACGGGCGAACGCTTTAATCACAAGGCTACCCCACCGCCTAACCTCCACTTTAAACAAAAGTCATTAACGTCAGTTTGAACAGCGCGGATTATAACAGTTGTTTCTGTGCATGTCAGAAGTGCGAGAAAAGTCCAAAGTAAATAAGGCTGAGGAAGGGGTTCGAACCCACTGCTGGCTACTATTGATTTCATCCTCGTGATTAAAGGGTTCCTTTACACACCTCATCAGGCAGGTGACAAATAACATCCTCGTGGCTCAAGGCTTATGTTACATACCTTATCAGGGTAGTGACAAAATTAAAAACATCCTCGTGGTTCAAGGGTTGTGTTACATACCTTATCAGGGTAGTGACAATATTTAAAACATCCTCGTGGTTCAAGGGTTATGTTACATACCTTATCAGCGGAGTGACAAAATTAACAACATCCTCGTGGTTCAAGGGTTATGTTACATACCATATCAGGGTAGTGACAATATTGAAAACATCCTCGTGGTTCAGGGGTTCAGTAACATACCTCATCAGGGTAGTGACAAAATTAACAACATCCTCGTGGTTCAAGGGTTATGTTACATACCATATCAGGGTAGTGACAATATTGAAAACATCCTCGTGGTTCAGGGGTTCAGTAACATACCTCATCAGGGTAGTGACAAATTTAATAACATCCTCGTGGTTCAAGGGTTGTGTTACATACCATATCAGGGTAGTGACAAATAACATCCTCGTGGTTGAAGGGTTTTGTTACATGCCATATCAGGGAAAAGACAAAATTAATAACATCCTCGTGGTTCAAGGGTTATGTTCCATACCTGATCAGGGTAGTGACAAATAACATCCTCGTGGTTCAGGGATTCAGTAACATACCTGATCAGGGAAGTGACAAAATTAATAACATCCTCGTGGTTCAAGGGTTATGTTCCATACCTGATCAGGGTAGTGACAAATAACATCCTTGTGGTTCAGAGGTTCCATTACATACCTAACAAGGCAGTGACATATGCCATCCTGGTGGACCAAAACTCTCTACGCGCCTCATCTCAACAACATACCATCGTTCATGACATCCTCGAGGTTGAGGGGGCTCCGGAACAAGTGGACGGTGACGATGTGGTTGGGGTCCTTGTAGAAGCGCCTGATGCCCATCACACTGGAGGTCTGCACGACGTAGGGCTGGGCATGGTACTTCTGGAGGAGGTCGGCGAAGGGCGTGGCGAAGTTGTGTTTGTAGTGCATGTAGCAGTCGGGGTCCTTCAGGCGGATCTCCGAGATCATGAACGTGTTCAGAGCTGCAAGGGAAACATGTGCTGTCAAACTGAAAACCGTGAATCTTATAAATATATCCAGTTGTTTGTTGTTCAAGAAACCCGCCGAGATATGACCATGGTACCGATGATGGTTAAGCGGGTATCGTGACGTTACATCGTCTTAGACTGGTATTTCGAGATCAAGGACTTTGAGTTCTAGTATACTGTATTCTGAGTGTTGATAGTACAATGAAACAATAATTAACGGTAATTGTCCGAAGACAAATACCGGTCGAAAAAATCCCCAAATATATATGTGTATCTTCAGATTTGGATTTCCTTGTCTAACATGGCAGTGTTCAGAACAAATGGCACATAACATGCACCTATGTAATGATTCCACATATTTGATGGTGCGTAGATCGCAGGAGCGACATGGCTACACGCATTAGTGCATGGATAACTGCATCCTTGAATATCCAGTTTGTTATATCTTCATTCTATTACGATTAAAACCCTGAACCCATCCCTCGCCACAGCTTCAGGCGTCACCACGCTACAACATTGCCGTCCAATCGAATTACATTTACATCCGAGAGACATTCTGTGGGAAGAACGTGATCAGAAAGTTTTGTTTGTTGTTTAACGCCGCATTCAGCAATATTCAAGCTATATGACGGCGGTCTGTAAATAATCGCGTCTGGACCAGACAGTCCAGTGAATGACATCATGAGCATCGATCTACGCAATTAAGATACGATGACATGCATCAATCAAGTCAGAGAGCCTGACCACCCGATCCCGTTAGTCGCCTATTACGTCAAGCATAGTCACCTTTTACGACAAGCATGGGTTGCTGAAGACCTATTCTAACCCGGATCTTCACAGTGTGATCAGAAAGGTAGTGACAGTGACGTCCAAACTGGAGCTATGTTTACAAATGGGTCCAGGGTATTTATTATACGAAAATGGAAATATTATACACTGGGCAATCGAGGATGGTTTCACAGCAGCGATGATGGTATGTCACTATGTGACAAACACTGGATGTATTCTGTACATGTATATATATTGCCGTCGCACCTCCTTCGTTGTCTGGCGAGTAATGGCGGTCCACCACCCACGCCTGACAGTGACCTGCGCACTGGGGGAAGTCGGGCTGCTTGAACTTCGGGTCTGACCGGAAGAACATGTCGGCGGAATCACGTGACGGGAAGTAAAAAACGATACAGCCTTCATCCACCGACGAGTCATAGCCATAACTGAAAACCTTGCAATGGAATGACATCGTTAGCATCACGGACAGATCAGGTCGAGTGAAAAAAACAGATCACTCTCGTAAAAATACAGTTGTTGGTTGGTTGGTTTGATGTCTAACGCCCCACTCAGCAGTATTCCATCTATATGACAGCGGTCTGTAAATAATCGAGTCTGGACCAGACAATCCAGTGATTGATATCATGAGCATCGATCCACGCAATTGAAATCGATGACGTGCATCAACCAAGTCAGCGAGCCTGACCACCCGATCCCGTTAGTCGCCTTATACGACAAGCATAGTCGCCTTTTACGGCAAGCATGGGTTGCTGAAGACCTATTCTACCCCGGATCTTCACGGGTCCGTAAAAATACAGACACGTGTAAATTTGCCTACACTCCTGCGCCAAACGTTTGTATTAACTTCAATGGTGTGTAAGCGTAAAATCTGTTGTGGCAGTGGTTTATATATATAATACGAAATCAGAGACACCGGTCAGCACAATAATGTTGTACAAGCCCCGCCCACTAATTTATCAGCCAATCAGGAAACAATAATCCGTTAGTGGGCAGTCTTTTAGGTAATGTTAGCTAATCAAATGCCATTACATCACTTGCAATAAAGGCCATTTTGTTAATTCTTATATTGCGCATATTTCAACACCACACGGGGGTATGCCCAAACTTACAATCATGCTCAGCTCCCTGGGGATTATACAACCTAAGCTGCCTGTGATTCGCTAGAAGGTTAACAGCCACATTGCCATCTCATCCTACCGGGTACCCATTCGCTGCTGGGTGAATAGAGGCACATTTCGAACAAAGTCACTTGCCCACGTGGTACATGTGTGTCAGTGCAATGTCAACTATAGACACTAGTGTCCCACTATGAATTTTCATGTAATTATTAAGAGACATCATCTTATAGCTGCAATTTCTAACGTTTTGAGCCGTAACTGCTTCTTACAAATATATTTGAATCAATTAAATATTTATGAAAAAGTAAATCTTATATTGTGTTTAAAATTGTTGTAATTTATGTGAGGTAGGTGGGTACTGTATGGCAACAAGAAAGACGACATGTTTTTGTTCAGTGCGAATATTTTAACAATTTCAAAGAATTCCTGGATTCGCCACTTCAACAGGTATTAGTAGGACTTTTTATAATATTAAAGTGACCTAATAACTACGTGTACATCCTCACACCCCTTTCCCATTTATATCTTATGTTTGAGTGCATGTAAATGTGTAAAGCTCGTCCCTGTCTGGTGTGTGTCACCGACACGGCATCATGTACAGTACAGTTTACTTATTCACAATCATTTCTAGGACAAGCACAGTTCAGATGCAACCTCTGATGTTAAATATATGTGCGGACGCCATGTGTTTCGTAGGTAGCCTCAAGAGTTATGACACTTGGTGGTCGACTTGGTGAATCTCCTACACGTTGTATAGCAGCTTCAACATTTTTAAAGATGGTATTGGTGAATTTATACAAGTTTTTCATATGTAGTCAGCACTCACCTTCCTAGCGATGCCGACAAACCTGCCGCCGTATATCCCCACCGTGCGACTGGCCCTCACACAGTCCTGACCCGCCTCCTGCACGTTCTTACCCCCGTGGGTCGGGAACAGGATGAACAGGTAGCACCCATCTGTCTGAAACAACAGCAGCAATAGTCACTGGATTGAAACAACCAGCAGGGAGAAGTCATTGAACTGAACAACCAGTAGGGAGAAGTCATTGAACTGAACAACCAGTAGGGAGAAGTCATTGGACAGAACAACCAGTAGGGAGAAGTCATTGAACTGAACAACCAGTAGGGAGAAGTCATTGGACAGAACAACCAGTAGGGAGAAGTCATTGGACAGAACAACCAGTAGGGAGAAGTCATTGAACTGAACAACCAGTAGGGAGAAGTCATTGAACTGAACAACCAGTAGGGAGAAGTCATTGAACAGAACAACCAGTAGGGAGAAGTCATTGAACTGAACAACCAGTAGGGAGAAGTCATTGAACTGAACAACCAGTAGGGAGAAGTCATTGAACAGAACAACCAGTAGGGAGAAGTCATTGAACTGAACAACCAGTAGGGAGAAGTCATTGAACTGAACAACCAGTAGGGAGAAGTCATTGGAATGAACAACCAGTAGGGAGAAGTCATTGGAATGAACAACCAGTAGGAAGATGTCATTGGAATGAACAACCAGTAGGGAGAAGTCATTGAAATGAACAACTGGTAGGGAGAAGTCATTGAAATGAACAACAAGTAGGGAGGAGTCATTGAACCGAACAACCAGCAGGGAGAAGTCATTGAACTGAACAACCAGTAGGGAGGAGTCATTGAACCGAACAACCAGCAGGGAGAAGTCATTGAACAGAACAACAAGCAGGGAGAAGTCATTGAACCGAACAACCAGTAGGGAGGAGTCATTGAACTGAAACACGTCTGCTTGTCTGTAACCAGCAAACACTCTCACATTAGCACATAAAACAAAGAGCAATTTGATGGATGAAATAAACAAGGCTAAAAATCCTGAGAGCACAATTTCTTACCCTTGGCATAATATATTTCCAAATATGTAAACCTTACATATATTAAAACAAGTATTTCAAATGTTAAAAGGCGTGTGTTAGTGGCAGTGTTGGTCATGCTTGATGTACGCCAAATAGGAGTATATGTTAATCCTAATTGAAATCAATATGATTTTTTTGTAATATTTCAAATATGTTTAGAGAGAATCGAGTTGGTTGACGAAATTAATGCAAATCTTTGCCTTTGGAAACTGCATGAGTATAAGTTTGTTAAAATACCCGTAAGCTTAAAAAGAAACTATATTAATGAATACGAAAGCTCTTATATTTATCACACGAACACTACAGGTTAATTGCTTGTGTAGGATATACCAGCACTATCGTGTTTCACCAATAAACGATGCTAATTACCCTGTTTGTCTCCGGGAGGTGCCTTTAGGTGGCAATTGACACCACATAAAACCAGGACATACGTGTGTACGTTACTGTATAGCGTTACAACACTGTACATGATAGATCGCTTCCACGTTAAGAAACATTCTCCAGTAGAGCAACTAATTATGGAAGGTCGCGGTGGTTTCAAACAACACAGTTGCGTGTGGAGTTTGATAAAGATGGCGACCAACACACACAGATCATATCACGAAGGCGCTGAGCTAGTCTACGTCATTGTGCGACGTTCTACACACGGATTGTCAGGCAGTATTACAGTGGCTATATGAAAGTGAACAGGTGGCACAATAGGGAATAATGCGACCTCGCCTGTCTCATTCGTGGCCACAAAGACCATGTTGCTAGCTTCATTCAAGCTTATGGTTACCCGATTGTACAGGACAATCAGCCAGGTAAATCGCGTAACGCCGCATAAGGTCAAATATCACGGCCTGCGTGAAATCCCTAATACATGTTGATTTTGCGATCTTGCTTCGAAGGTGGTGAGCGCACATAGATAGACAATATGTTGAATACAGTAAAACTTTAGAAACGATTCTGAAAGTTTTGCTCGACAAAAGAACAAACATGTTCTGTTTTATTCATCATCACTCGCTCCTTTCCGTAACCTGCAAGAAGACTCGTCACCCAATCGATAAATCTTACGTGCAAAAATACGACAAACCAATCAGAATGCGCGTATGACTTCAAATACTTCGGTCAAACAATCCCACAGGAAGAATTTGATTTTACATGTGTCTTGCATTTCAAAATATACCAAAGATACACATAAAAGTGTTTAATCATACTGCATAATACTGTAAGTCCCAATGTGTTTAATCATACTGCATAATACTGTAAGTCCCAATGTGTTTAATCATACTGCATAATACTGTTAGTCCCAGTGTGTTTAATCATACTGCATAATACTGTAAGTCCCAATGTGTTTCATCATACTGCATAATACTGTTAGTCCCAATGTGTTAAATCATACTGCATAATACTGTAAGTCCCAATGTGTTTCATCATACTGCATAATACTGTTAGTTCCAATGTGTTTAATCATACTGCATAATACTGTAAGTCCCAATGTGTTTAATCATACTGCATAATACTGTTAGTCCCAATGTGTTTCATCATACTGCATAATACTGTTAGTCCCAATGTATTCAATCATACTGCATAATACTGTTAGTCCCAATGTGTTCAATCATACTGCATAATACTGTTAGTCCCAATGTGTTTAATCATACTGCATAATACTGTTAGTCCCAATGTGTTTCATCATACTGCATAATACTGTTAGTCCCAATGTGTTTAATCATACTGCATAATACTGTTAGTTCCAATGTGTTTAATCATACTGCATAATACTGTAAGTCCCAATGTGTTTAATCATACTGCATAATACTGTTAGTCCCAATGTGTTTAATCATACTGCATAATACTGTAAGTCCCAATGTGTTTAATCATACTGTATAATACTGTTAGTTCCAATGTGTTTAATCATACTGCATAATACTGTAAGTCCCAATGTGTTTAATCATACTGCATAATACTGTTAGTCCCAATGTGTTTCATCATACTGCATAATACTGTTAGTCCCAATGTGTTTAATCATACTGCATCATACTGTTAGTCCCAATGTGTTCAATCATACTGCATAATACTGTTAGTCCCAATGTGTTTCATCATACTGCATAATACTGTTAGTCCCAATGTGTTTAATCATACTGCATAATACTGTTAGTCCCAATGTGTTTAATCATACTGCATAATACTGTTAGTCCCAATGTATTCAATCATACTGCATAATACTGTTAGTCCCAATGTGTTCAATCATACTGCATAATACTGTTAGTCCCAATGTGTTTAATCATACTGCATAATACTGTTAGTCCCAATGTGTTTCATCATACTGCATAATACTGTTAGTCCCAATGTGTTCAATCATACTGCATAATACTGTTAGTCCCAATGTGTTTCATCATACTGCATAATACTGTTAGTCCCAATGTGTTTAATCATACTGCATAATACTGTTAGTCCCAATGTGTTTCATCATACTGCATAATACTGTTAGTCCCAATGTATTCAATCATACTGCATAATACTGTTAGTCCCAATGTGTTCAATCATACTGCATAATACTGTTAGTCCCAATGTGTTTAATCATACTGCATAATACTGTTAGTCCCAATGTGTTTAATCATACTGCATAATACTGTTAGTCCCAATGTGTTTAATCATACTGCATAATACTGTTAGTCCCAGTGTGTTTAATCATACTGCATAATACTGTAAGTCCCAATGTGTTTCATCATACTGCATAATACTGTTAGTCCCAATGTGTTAAATCATACTGCATAATACTGTAAGTCCCAATGTGTTTCATCATACTGCATAATACTGTTGGTTCCAATGTGTTTAATCATACTGCATAATACTGTAAGTCCCAATGTGTTTAATCATACTGCATAATACTGTTAGTCCCAATGTGTTTCATCATACTGCATAATACTGTTAGTCCCAATGTGTTTAATCATACTGCATAATACTGTTAGTCCCAATGTGTTTAATCATACTGCATAATACTGTTAGTTCCAATGTGTTTAATCATACTGCATAATACTGTAAGTCCCAATGTGTTTAATCATACTGCATAATACTGTTAGTCCCAATGTGTTTAATCATACTGCATAATACTGTAAGTCCCAATGTGTTTAATCATACTGTATAATACTGTTAGTTCCAATGTGTTTAATCATACTGCATAATACTGTAAGTCCCAATGTGTTTAATCATACTGCATAATACTGTTAGTCCCAATGTGTTTCATCATACTGCATAATACTGTTAGTCCCAATGTGTTTAATCATACTGCATCATACTGTTAGTCCCAATGTGTTCAATCATACTGCATAATACTGTTAGTCCCAATGTGTTTCATCATACTGCATAATACTGTTAGTCCCAATGTGTTTAATCATACTGCATAATACTGTTAGTCCCAATGTGTTTCATCATACTGCATAATACTGTTAGTCCCAATGTATTCAATCATACTGCATAATACTGTTAGTCCCAATGTGTTCAATCATACTGCATAATACTGTTAGTCCCAATGTGTTTAATCATACTGCATAATACTGTTAGTCCCAATGTGTTTCATCATACTGCATAATACTGTTAGTCCCAATGTGTTCAATCATACTGCATAATACTGTTAGTCCCAATGTGTTTCATCATACTGCATAATACTGTTAGTCCCAATGTGTTTAATCATACTGCATAATACTGTTAGTCCCAATGTGTTTCATCATACTGCATAATACTGTTAGTCCCAATGTATTCAATCATACTGCATAATACTGTTAGTCCCAATGTGTTCAATCATACTGCATAATACTGTTAGTCCCAATGTGTTTAATCATACTGCATAATACTGTTAGTCCCAATGTGTTTAATCATACTGCATAATACTGTTAGTCCCAATGTGTTCAATCATACTGCATAATACTGTTAGTCCCAATGTGTTTCATCATACTGCATAATACTGTTAGTCCCAATGTATTCAATCATACTGCATAATACTGTTAGTCCCAACGTGTTTCATAATACTGCATAATACTGTTAGTCCCAATGTGTTTAATCATACTGCATAATACTGTTACTCCCAATGTGTTTAATC